TGTATTGTTGCATAATGTATCGATACTACGTGTGGACTCTTGGTGCTTCGTAATCTTATGTGTCAATATCTTCGAAATAGTCCATACAAATCCAGATTTTATTCATACTTATTGGACTTTTAAAATTATAAAACATTTGACTAACTTAAATTATGAATGTATAAAGTTAATAACTTTTGTATTTGTTATTATTTTTTCATATATAATATAAAATTGATCATTCTTTGACAATTTTGATTTTATTTTAATAATATATATATATATAATGTTATATATATTCATAATAAAGTAAATTATTTATTAACACTAATTAAAAATTTATAATTAAAATGTTATTGATCAATTCATTACAAAAATTATTATAATTTAACACACGACAAATCGTACAAATGATAGGTCTCTTTTTAAATATAAATAATAAATGTATTTTTTAAGAAAAAAATAATATTAAAAAATTAAATAAACAAACCTAACATTTCAGCATAAAATTTGTAATTAGCAAATAGTATATTGACACACTACTTATGAAACCATCAACATTTATTCACAAATAGTATATTGACACATGTCCTATAATAAATACACTTTAGACAGATGTCAATACATTATTAAGTGATAGATAATTCTATAAGAAAACAATCTGATGACTACAATACTCCATCTGTTTCAAATTATAAATCGTTTTGATTTTTTTGATTTATCCATTTTGCTATGCATGTAGATATATTTAAAAGGGAAGGAGTATCAATTAGCGTAGCGTTAAATAGTGAGCCAAATTATACATATGAAGCTTTCCATATGACTTGGCAAGATGCATGTCTCTATTGTCGTAAACCAATCATTTTACTTGTATTATTATTGATTGCCCCACCCTCGACCAAATTGAGCATTAAAATGGGAAGATAACTTCTCGTTATTTCAATCTGAACCACAACTTCTCTGTCTATCTCTCTGCCCGTAGGCTTCCCAATTAACTTTCCCATTTAATGTCCGCTGAAGGCCGCCGGCAACCCGAGAGCCTCCTTATACCCTTATCCACCGCCGGCAGGGCCGTCCCTGGCAACGTTTTCTGACATCCGACTAATTAATTTATTAGTTTAGATGCCGTCGCCTAAGCATCACCGGAAAGTTGGATCCGAGAAGAACAAAAAGGGGAAGCTATCCGAGAAGGCGTCTTCCTTCCACGGTAAGGCTCAATTGGGGGCGAGCGTGCTCCCCCGGCCGAGGACGGTGCCGGACCTTCTCTCCGGGAGGGGATCCAGCTGGAGCTCGGCGGAGGACGCCGCCGCCGCGGCGCCGCAGAAGCTGACGAAGCTGCTGCTGAACGTGACGATACAGAGGAGCCTTGGCGCCGTGAGGGTGGTTATGCCGCTGGAGGCGACGGTGGAGGATCTGATCGCGGCGGTCCTCCGGCAGTACGCTAGGGAGCAGCGGCTGCCGGCGCTCTCCTCTCACGACGCGTCCGATTTCGACCTCCATTATTCTCAATTTAGCTTGCAAAGTAAGCTTCCCTAATTTAGGGTTTTGTTATTAAACGATTGATAATTCATTTGCATAAACCACAAATAATTCAGATTTGTGTTTCCTTAATATTCCTTGAAATTTGGAATAATCCCATAAATTGTAGGGGCCCACAAGAAGAAGGGGGAATTGAATTGAAATTGATTGGTTTGTGTGGACTGTGGACAGGTTTGGATAGGGGTGAGAAGCTGGTGGGTTTGAGTTCAAGAAATTTCTTTCTCTGCCCCAAGCGGCCGGAGCCGGTGGAATCCACGGCGGGATGCGGCGGAGCTCCGTCAAGATGTTCCGAAGAAGCTGATAAGGATAGCAAGAAGGGGCTGCTCTGGCTCAAATTCATGAATTTTTTGCTGTAATTTGTTTGGGTCAACTCAACTGTTGCCACTAGTAATTGTTTTAGGGATAGAAAGATAATTCAATGGCATTTCTTTTGTCCGAATCGATAAAGTCGAATTGCCAATTGAAGGAAAGAATGGACCGACGGAGTTAAATTTAATTTAACTATGTCCCCGTGCGTATGGTGTGTCCACTTGTATATAATAAATAATAAAGGGAAATGCTATGGTTTAGTTATATATCATCTTGTCAAATATTTTAACTGTAAAAACACATGTAGTTAGTATAAGATGGATTTTATGAAATTATTCGAACATTCTTTCAAATTTTATTTGGTGCTCGAGTTTGTGCACGACATGTCTTTAGGCCTCATCTACGATGCATCGTGTAACGGGGTGTGTCAATTTAAATAAACCCATATTCACCCTTTTATTTTCTTCGACCAAAAATAAATATTTACATTACTTAAAAAAATATCACAAAGCTTTTTAACTCTTAGGTATTGATATAGGATATTATACTAGGCTCGGTTTAATGGATAAAGCGGATACATATTGGAAAATAAGCCCACTAGGACATTTAAGCCCAACGATAGGGGTCAGACCCAAAAGGTACACTCCCCCTATAAAGGGGGCTAAGGTACCTCATTCTCTCACTTTCTATTCATTCCATACTACACACTTTCTCTCTCTTGATCTGAGCACTGACTTAAGCATCGGAGGCCCGACGCCGGGGCCACCCCCGGCGTTGGGTTCTGCAGGTACGGAGGCCGGTTCGAGTTGAAGAAGCCCGGGTGAAACTTATTCACTTCATTGGAGCCGTCTGTGGGGACCCGTCAAAAAGTCAAGTGGAGTTCTGACTGAAAAAATTGAAAAACCTCCTTCTTCTCCGCCGGCAGCCACCTCCGCCGCCGGCCGCTGGAAAACGTGCTCCGATCGGAAAATTATTTACATCATCGGATAGATCTCTTCAAGGTGATTCTACCGTTAAAATTTCGTGCAAAAATTCCTCCGGGAAGGCCTTCAATTTCGCGGTCAAAGTTTCCATATCTAAGAAGAAATCAGTCAAAATCGGACGTTCAAACGCATTTTTTCGGCGATCCGTGAGGGCTATGGATAATCCGAGGGTACCACTGGAATCATCTCGCTGAGACGAATTTCCAGTTGCTGACCTTTCCCGCACGCCGCCGCCTCCGCCGTCGGCCGCCGTCCAAAGTTCTCCGATCTAAAAAATTCTTATGTCATCGCGAAGCTCTTCTCGTGCTTGTTATACCCTTAAAATTTGGAGCAAAAATTCCTATAGGAAGGCCATCAATTGGCCGGTCAAAATTCTTAGACCTAGAAATAATTTGGTCAAAATCCGGTAATATTCTCCATTTTCCCGTCGATTCCCGGCAAGACACGTTGAACTAAGGACACCATCGGGACCGCCTCGTCGAGGCGCGCGTACTTCCGGTCACTATCGCCGGAGATGGAAATCCTCAACCGGCGACTCTTTCTTTTTACCGGCGAGTAGGCGTGGGTTCGCGCAGCTCCTGTGCTCGTCATCCCAGCCAATGGGCGTGGGTTCGCGCGGCCCGTGTTGCTGCGCATACGGAGGCCCAGTTGTAAGAAACTGGGGGAAAACGGTGTGGTCCCACTAACATGAAGCGCACCATGAGAAGGGAAAATCCATATGAAGCCCAAGTGGGGTTCCATCCCAAAACCAATTGGTGGAAGGAGGAGTAACCCATTAGACTTATAAGGTGGGTCAATTTTCCATGTATGAACGATGTGGGACAACTCACAAGTGATATTCTAACACGCCCCCTCACTTGTGAGTCCTTCGGAAGCCCAAACCCAATTGGGTGCCCAAGCTTACTAGAAGTAGAC